AATTGTTCAAAACATAGTTAAAAATGAGATTTTAAAATTCATGATTTTGACTCTTTTCAAAAGTAGATGAACTTTTTGACGAATATATTTCGGTTTGACTTTGAGCTTTTCCTGGTTTTAGAAAGAAAATAGTTTTTTCAGGTGGAGTTCGAAAAATTTTCGCCGCCGACGCCGCGCTTTCCTCAATTTTGCCGCCCCTCATTTTTGTCGCCCCGGGCAATTGCCCGGTTTGCCCCACTCCCCCTCCCAAGATCGGGCGCTGAAGGATACCACCCACCACTATTCAACTTCACTGGACTTTTCTCTATGCGTATGATTGAAATCAAATATCTACGATGTGTGGCTATAGGAAAATATTACTAGGTGGCTACTATAATACCTGATTCACTTCATCATGTGAGGCAGAAAACTGAAGGTCATTCATACCATTGTAAGCAAGTTACTGATGCTCAGTTCGAACATTTGATGAAGTTTTTTCAGTTCAGTATGTCTAGACTTAAATGAACTCTCAAATAAGATGTTACCCAAATATTATTTCCACCTGGGATTTTTCACATGTGTAGTGGGGGAGGTTGACAAGGGTTTTATTTTTATAACTTACAATAACTCATTCAGAATTTCAACTGTTTGCACCATATGTGCATGATACCTCTATTTTTTCAGAAATAATCCAATGATATTTCTTTGAAGATGTTTTTTCATTCTAGACGATGTAAGGAATAGAACGTTTACACTAGAGTTTGTATAAATTTCTTGTACATTTCCATCTCTGCTTTGTCATATTCGTGTCATATCATTAACATTCATCAGTAAATACTAATTTTAATAGACATCCCAACAACCTTCATCAACATAATTCACTGTTCATCCCTCTCAAAATTCAGTAAAGCTCTACGTTGTCTTCCAACTGCCTATAAATTTCAATTTCGCAGCAAATTGACACTACTGGTGTTGATTAAGCCTGGGGTAAGCTCCAGCAGCTGTTTGTTCTCGTTTGTCAATTCAGAAAACGACGTCGCTATTTCCACAATAAAATTGTAAATAAGGTCTAAATCTGGTTATTTTCCGGATACTCACTCGGAGTAATCAGTTTTTATTTATTCTGTAGTTATTGGGAATCGAGGAGGAATTTATGGGGGGAGGTTCATGACTTACACTGATTCCTTACTCTGGAACTGATGGTCTCTACTATTTATATCTAATAGAGTACACGTTCAATCTCAGACATACATCATTTATTTCGAGTAGAAATTCGCGGGTTGAAAGTTCCCGCTAACTTCAACAGAGCGATTCGTAAAAGGATGAACAATGTACCCAAAAAGCATTAAAAAATCTGGTATCATGTACCCATCCAAAAAATTCCAGGTAGTTCAATCCATTATGTGGCCGTTCTCTAAGGCGTTTTGAGCGACACTAGATTTCTATGGTCTCTGAAGTGAAATATGTACTAGGTGTTCTTCGAAACGAGTTTCAGTAGCCCGCTTCGTCTGACCGATGTATTTTTGTCACAGTCCTCCGATTGTCCATTTTACAAGATAGTGTCTTGAAGATTAGCTAGCTTTTGTTGGAGCGAAGAAGAAGTTTGGAAGGTCACTTTTACGTTCGCTTTTTTGAAAATTTGATCTAATCCTTCAGTGTATCCTGGATCAAACGGGAGGATATTGAACTTTAACTTGACGTCATTTCGAAAAGTCGAAGATTTACGAAGAATCTCCCTAAATTTACTTTTCCTAATTATCTTTATTTGAATAATACCCGTTGACTTCAGCTATATTCCTGATAACATATTTCCGAAGATCATATCTTCCTTTGATCAAGGGGGGTGCAACAAACCTATGGACAAAAAAGTCTAGACCTGCCATTTTGTGAAGTACTGGTATTCTTCCTGAAAACATCAAACTGTAGACCCTGGTCACTATTGATCACCAAGACATCCATGAATGGTAACTCATCGTTTGTTTTTGATTCCATATGTGGACTCAATGTTCAGGAATCTGTTGTTCAAAATTGAAACGAAGTCTTCTACTTCCACACTGGAAGTCACAACATTCTATAAATGACCTCTGACTTTATGCCTCCAACTGTCAACTACGAACTGCCTTATAAAATACTGTTCCCGAGTAGAGAGGACTAGATCCTCCGGGAAAAGTAAATATTAAGAGCAGATTGTTGTTGGTGGACAGATGGATTTAAAACACCTTCCGGTTCTGGTGCAAGAGTTTTCAGTCGCAGATCCAGGACAGAGATATCAACCTGCCTAGGAACCTATGCGACTGTATTTCAAGCGGAAATTTACGCTATTGAATTGTGTGCGGAGAGATTCGGAAGATGAAGATTTTGCTAAAGTTCGACGACGTTGTTCTGCAGCTTTGATATTTCTCGTGCAATCANAAGGCGGTCCTGGATTAAAGACAAAATGAGAAAAACCAAGAAAGTACTTGATAAAAATAGCTGCGTAAACGCAAGCGAAACATAAGTGGAACCGCCAATATATATACGGTATATATATATATACCGGTGGCTCTTAAATTGAAATCAATATGGGATTGATCAAAGAGTACTTATCTATTTATTTTTTGATTTTCATGGAATTATTTTCCAGCGTATAAAATTTCAACAACAAATATGCAAATTATGATTCCATCGATCCACAGCAATGGATAGATTCTCCAATGGAAAAGATACATACAACTGGGTATCGTCAGCAGCATACTTTTTTTTAATATTGATAATGATTTTCAGTATTCACATATCCACATTCATTCACATATTCATTTCGTTTGTATTTCATCTAAAATATTCACACTTGTGATGTCACAATTGTTACTCATTGAAAATATCATTCAAAATGCTAGCTGAGATCCCGATTATTTTAAATTTATTAACAAAACAGGCTGTGCTATTCCAAAACTGCAATAATTGGCGAATTGAAAATTTACAGCATCGATTACTGTCAAAAATGTTCAGATCGTGCGGGTCACCTGTTCCGACGACACTAAAATACCGTTTGCAATCTGTACCCGAATTATTCTGAAGTTAACAATATCACGGGCCAACGCAATTTTGCTGTGATACAACACTAATATTTGAATGTGTGATTTAACGTTGCCAACACCAAATGGCGATTGTTTCACGCAAAGTATGATTTATGAGCGAATGCGGTTGCAAAATACATTCGTTACATGTTGGATTTGCAGCTCGAACTGAAAATTCAACAAAACAAAACACATGATTATCATTGTTGAAATTTCCGGGTTGTGGTATCTTAAATAGTGATGTGGATAAAAACAAAACTGTTTTCATGAACTGTTTTTGTCAGTATTGAAAATTGGGGTGACATTTACTTTGATATGTAGTTCACCGTGAATTAATGAACATTAACTGAAAGGTGTGTTTTCAGGAAGGATTAGTTTAAAAAAACCTTTTTGTTCCGCTGGGGACCGAATTGGGTCTTCAGAGTTCGGCAGAGTCGTACTCTTACCGTCTGACCTGAAAGACCACTAACCATACAAACTTATCGGCTTCGTTAAGAAGCTGGCTTTATTCGTCCAAGTGTGAATAGGTGTGAGACACAATAAACCCTTGCGAGTTGCGGTGGAGGGTCGAATAGACCCACTCATTTTGGACATAACCTAACCTTACCTTACCTAACTATTCTGATCATTTTCGTATTGATTTCAATTTAAAAGCCACCGATAGACAGCTGTTTCAGCCTATTGGGCATTGTCAGTACCGGGCAGACGGTCCTCGATTGAAGACAAAAAAAACAAGAAAAGTACCTAATAAAAATAACTGCGTAAACGGAAGCGAAGCATAAGTGGAACCACCTATTGGTGTGACACCCAAGTCAACTTGCCAAGTGTTATGTCAGTGTTGGTTGGTTGACCAATCAACCGACAACTGCGGTAGCTGAAATTTGGGGAGCTCACCTGGAATGTCATCGGAAAACGAATCCACATGTTTCTAGAAATGATATGAAATCGAGAAAGGTTAATGTAATGCAGTTATGCAGTCAAACTGAGACTTCTCCCCTTATCTGGTATATATATATATATATANAGTGAATTATGTCCTTTATATTGACTTGTTTTATGAATTTTATGTTCTCTGGTGGGGGAAAGTTATGTTTGTTTTGTATGGCGTGTGTTGCAAGGTTTGATTTATATATTTTTGGGTTCATGTATGGCTTTTTGTGCTTTGGATCAGTTTTTTCTTTGTTTGGCCGATGTAGAATTTGTTGCAGTCCGAGCATTGTATATTATAGACTCCGTTTAGGTTTTTGTCTTCTTCTTTTTTATTGCTGTTTATTTTTTGTGTTATTTTCGTGTTTGGCTTGTATGTGATGTTGATGTTCAGGGGTTTGAAGATGTTTGTTACAAACATCTTTGTTACAAACACATCTTTCCCACACCAGAGAACATTTTGATCTTCTCCTTGAAGATGATCACTTGGTGATCGAAACACATAAACACATTAAAATAACGGTTTGGTGTTGTGAAAAAATTCAAGTAATATTAAGTACAAATACTTCAGAAATACCTTCATATTACAGGCCTCACGCAAGTTACCACAAACCTTTTGAATTTTCTATTCGAATATTAATATTTTCAGCAAGTTGTCTCATACTACAGTACACGGCTGGTAGATTTCCAGTGCTTGCTTTAAAAAAAATTATCATTCATGATGAAACTGATGACTGATATAGCAGAAATACTTGGAAAATATCACCACAACAATTTGGCAGATCTCATATTATTGGCTTTCATTTCTATAATGTACTGCAGGATCTACTTTTCTCAGTATTTCCAACTAGTTATTGAAAAAGCATGTCTGGAAACATTCATCCGTGAAAGGCAGATTACAAAAATATCATCCGTTTTCAAATATGGAAAACTTACTTTGGTGTCACGCCACCTAAATGTTTCACACTGTAGTTCCAACAGTATGACTGGTTTGGAAATAATGTGGTTGATACATAAATAAATTAAATATCCTCTGAATGAACTCCATTAAAAAATATATTCATCCAAACTTTCTACAACTATCTCCAAATCATTATACTTATTTAGGCCATTGAACATTCCTCTTTCCACTCTTTCGAACTAACCCTCAGTGGCTCAACTGTAGTCCTGAAATCCTCCCATTTGCAATTGAATTCACGTTCATTCAAACGGAGTTTGACGACTTTTTCGTTGTATGTTTGATTTTTGTATAAAATATTAACAAACTGGCCTTGGTTTTCGCTACTTCTCAATTCAAAGATCAGTGCAGAAGCATATTCTGGAGCGGAATCCTCAAGCAACTTCAAAGATGAGAGTACACTCATTATTGTAATATCGTGACCCGAAAGCATCAGAAACTTTGGAGTGTCAGTCACATTCTTGATAATATCTTCGAACTTAGTAGCTATTAGGTCGATTAGAGGTCCTGAAAGAAAATTTTAAACGATCACCAAAAATTCGTGATGATATTAATGCGGAATCTGATAATTAATCACTGAATTTTTCTGCATATACTAACATGGAACAATGGACAGATGTCTGTAACCTATGGTATTATTTGAAACCTGCCTATTCTCAAATAATATATTTCCAAGGCCGAAAATAACTGTGTCAGTTGTCTGAATTCATTCAGGGACATATTAGATTTTTTTTTTGATCCAAAATAATCAGTAGGCATTCATGTAGTCACGGATCGGTTTAAAAAAATGCAAATTCCTGATAGAATCATCCGCTTCTACCTTAGATTGCATAGAGAGGAGATAAACAGTCAAAAGCAAGAAAATTAACCTGAATTGAGTCTTGCTACCTGCACTTAGCAAGCAAGAATCAAGTCATTAAACTCTATTGAATGAAAATTTCGTTTGCATTACATCTATTTCTTTTTGGTTGTCTACTCTGTGTATTTGTCATAATTGTTACTTTTCATATGTATATAATGTTTGTATTGTCCATTTTTCACTTACATTTCCTGTCGTGTTCGTTGTATACATTTTATCATCCTTATAAAAATTTTGTTCGACGCACAACTATTTTTCCTGAGTATATTTGTCATTTGTCTCACTCATCACATCAAGTTGCTGTTTGTTATCTATTTTTCAATTCTATTCGCTGTTTTCATCGCACCATCATGTGATGTCATGTGAGGATCTAGATCATGAAATCACAATAGTTCCAGAAGCATAGGACAGACATTTAAGAAGAGACATAAATAAACTAGTTCGAAGGAACAATATTATTGAACCAGCTGTCATGAACAGATGGGNAAAAAGTTACAATATTGAAATCAACCTGACGTTTTGTACTACCAAAAAGACACCCAGCCAGAAATTTATTTGGTTTACCCCATGATTGAAAGGGGTGAAAAACGCAACAGGGATGCTCCAATGAAATTTTATATGAAAGATCCTATCTTTTTTTCGATGAGGAATCACCTACTTAAATGTTTTACACTTATTCAGTTACACCCTGTATATTAATACCATTATATATGAGGGAGGTCCGAAAAGTTTCCTACCTATCAAAGATACAAGACATTTTTTCAGATTTTTTTTTCAACTCTACACTTTTTTCTCATTGATGTAACTCGTCCAAATAGTACTTGGCATTTTTCCCTTCGAAATAATTATTCACGATGGTGATCGCCTCTCGAGTGCAAACTTTTGATGAGGTAACAAAAAGAAGTCGCTTGAGGCTAGATCTGGTGAGTATGGCGGATGGTCAAGCAGTTTAAACCGTAATTTATAAATTTTAGCTATGGCAACCGCTGAGGTGTGAGGAGACGATGTGTTGTATTGGTAAATGTGGTCGTTTTTCTGCAAGTTCTGCCATCAGCTTGTCAAGTAATGATGCGTAGTATGTTCATGTGATGTAGATGATTGATTGAAATAATTCTATGACTATCACAAAAAACTGTCGCCATCATTGTCTCATCCGAAAAATTAGTTTTTGCTTTTTTTGCAACCGGTTCCCCTTATGCAATCCACTGTTTGGACTGTATAATGATGTTTCCAAATTTCATCCACAGCAGTTAATCGGCGCCAACACTCGGATTCATTGGTACTAAACTGTTCATTCGAACAAATTTTTGGTCTTACGTGAGCAAACGCGGCACCCAATGCTCGGACAGCTTTCTCATGCCTGAATGTTGTTGATTCAATTTGTGAAAAACACGTTCTTATGAAATGTTCGTAACCTCTGTTATCTTTATTCCTTCAACAAGGCGGTCGTCTAGCATCATTTGCTAAACTTTGGCGATGTTTTCGTCGATATGTTTGAAGGTGGTTGAGAATGTTTCATGGTGAATTTCGTTAGTTCGGACTTCCATTATCTAGTATGATATAAAATGAAATTGAAAAGAATAGCTGAAAATAACAATTATATCAAGCAAAAAACCCTTAACTGAAATTGCATAAAATAAAATACAAGCAACAATAATTGGAAACTGAACAGTTAATAAAAATTGAAAGACTTCAAGCCCAGTTACTTCACGACGTTTTGATTGTTGGTATCCACAATCGTCTTCTGGTGATGACTGGACTTTTTTCTCTGAGAAATGACTATAGGTCATTCGAGTGCTTTCACCCATCCCCTCTTCNCAGCTGACATGAGGCATCTGTCGGTGTTGGATGATTCAACTCTGATATCTCTATGGCTGTAGAGATCAGGCAGAAATCCTTTATACCTGTTCCGTAACCACTTCCCAAGGTCATAAGTGTGTTTTTTTCCAAGCTGAAAATGGAATAGTTTTATATTTTGTGCACGAATCATTTTCGAAGTTGAGCTGCTCACAAAAGTGTAAGCATAGTCAACGTTAACTGCAAGCATTATCAAACAAATGGTGTTCTCCATAAAGAGAGTCGCAGAAAATGAAAAAGTAATAACAACTAAGTATTATTCGATAGGGGTATATCTTTCAGAAGAGATTACTTTTTGAGAATAATATATATTCAAATAACCCTTCATTGTGAGATTTTCACTGGACATTTTACAACAACCAAACACCTGTTTCCACAAAGCATATTATACAGACATTGTCATACATTAATTATTCTCTCACAAACTCCTACTAGCATCAGTAGTATACTTCACAGACTATTGAATATTTATCTGCCAGAAAATAATTTTCAGAGGGAGCCGAGTTTCATTAAACTTCTCTGAAGAGGTGAAATACGTTGATACTATCCTCGAAAGGAAGCTAACATGGAATTCTCACCTACAGAGTAGAGCACATATGTGGCTTATGAGCAATGTCGGAGGACAATGGGACGCACATGGGGTCTTTCATCCCGTGTGATCACCTGGATCTTCACTGCAATAATAAGACCTATGTTAACGTTCGGAGCCATTGTATGGGGACCGAAAGTTCTACAAGCAACGACCATCCAAAAATTATATCAAATACAGCGACTGGCTTGTTTAAACATCACAGGAGCCATGAGAACAACACCAACCGCGGTAATGGAATTAATTACTGGTCTTACCCCTCTGGACCTGTATGTTAAGGAGGTTGCGTTAATGGTCATGTTACGATTGCGCACGGCTGGGGTGAACCTCGAAGTTGAAATGGGTCAATTAGGGCTGAGCCTATAGCGAGAAGCGCTTGCTGCGCAACCTCTGCGGCAGGCAACCAATGATGCAGTTGAACCCAGGTTTGTGTTTAATAAACCCTACTACATACAAATAAAACAGAACACTGAGTCAGATGCTATAAATGCAATACGCATATATACAGACGGCTCGAAAACCAGTGGAGTGTACTTCAGATCACTAAGCCTAACGATTAAGTGGGGAATGGGAAGAAATACCAGCGTGGTCCAAACAGAACTGGCTGGTAACTCAATCGCCACAAAAGAAATAACTAGGGAAGGAATTTCTGGCAAAAACATAACAATCTGCACTAACAGCAGACAAGCCCTATTAGCCTTGAACAGATAACGTATTACCTCGGGGCTAGTACTAGAGTGCCACCAAGATGTAGCCAAAGCTTCGGTAGGTAATAACATCATACTCATGTTATTACCTCATACTGAGGTGGGTTAAAGGGCACGACGAGAGTAAAGGTAATCGCATTGCAGAATCCTTAGCCTAAAAAGCGGCTGGACTAAGAATTTTAGGATCCACTGGCACCTACGGCCTGATGACTTCGACAATTGCGGAACTAGCAAAATGTCACACCAATGCTCAATCCCTGAGGAGATGGGATGAAATCAAAGGATGCAATCTTGCCAGAATCACCTTGGGCGACCCTGGGAAGCTGGCGCCGAAGAAATATCTGGGGATGATCAGGAAAAATCCACGCCTAATAGGATTTCTGATTGGCCATTGTCAACTAAGGAAACACCTGCACAATATGGGGCTAGTGGACACACCTCTATGCAGGATGTGTGAACAGTAAGATGAAACTGTCAGGCATGTCCTATGCAAATATACGGAGTTATCGTCAATGAGAGAGTGTGTGTTCGGCGAGTCTTGGCCTACACTTGCCGATATGAAGGAGATGTCTCCTAAAGACCTGTCCACCTTCCTGGAAAGGACAGGATGGGCGATGACCTAGGAGGACAACTCCTTGGGAGGATGTACAATGCGTCACATGCATGTGACGTGTTGTGGGCCTACACTCGCCCACCCAACTCTTCAAATACAGATCTACTCCATTATTTTCAAAAACTACGAAAACAAGCCATAGACCAGCTCTACCCAACTTCAAGAAATTCCTATATGAACATTGAATTATACAAAAAACACTTTTCCCAATTCCGTTTGTACTTGAAACATTTGTTATAGAATTGAATCAGATATCATTCACACGAATGCTACACAATATAGTTTATGAAAGAAATAAAATTTCACTTATATGCAGCACTGTAATCTTCGATGGCGGATATTCGATGGTTCGGAATAAGACACTTGCCTTATTGCATCTTCAGCACCAATCTGGATAACATTACGAGATGAAGCACTTAATGAAATCATAAAAGTATGTCTTCAAGTCACGAATGAGTTGCATCTACTCATATCGAAACATTATGAATGAATTAATGCTGAAGAAGCAAGGCAATTGTCTTAGCCCGAAATATCGGATACCCGTCATTGAGGATGACAATGTTCCATGTAAGTGAAATTTCACCTTCGTTTGAATGAACGAGAACATATTGATAATAATTTTAAATGAACGGTTTCAATAATAGAATTGAAAAATGAACCAAACTTCTAAAAATGTAGTGAATAGAAAACTTTCAATACAATTCCATTATGCAATATTTCAGTCTGTTACTACATATGGGATTATTGGCTGTAGTAGATATGACAAAACTTTGAAACCTTCACAGTCTCTACAGGAATACGTTTTGAAAAGTATTTCGAAGAAACAATTCAACTATTCATCAAATGAAATCATTGATGGAATGTGCATTCTTAACAATCGGGCAATTATTTTTTAGAATTTCCTCAATTAACATCAAGAGACTTTGGTGTTCAAGGAAAGCATACATGACAAGAAACAAAAAAATAATGAAGACAGGCCTATAGCCTTAGGAAAATATTCGAAAACTCATTTGTGATACATAGCTCAGTTTGTTATTACAGTGGCTACAAAAATCGATGGAAAAACTAGTGGACCGTATCAAAAAAATGAAATAAAGTTGATGATGAAATCTAATGCACGGAACGTCGCATGGCAAATTACTTTCACATCATAACATATGTGGAATAGTATCGAGAGTTCCTATCCTTTTTTCATATCATTCCAAATTGAGGCGGTAGAGTTGAAAACGAAATTCGAAAATTCTAGTTTTCGGCGAATATTTCAAAAACAGCCACTGATATTTTCGATCTAGAAACAAATCATTCTGGTTCCTCAATCCAACCAACCTTGTAGGCCTCACCGTTTACCAGATATTATATCAATAGTGGAATCAGCTAAAAAAACGACCTGTATATTATTTTACCCCTGATGCGCCACACTTTCACTTCATACTCTGTGCATTAGAGGATATTTCAAAAAAGCAATGCTCTCTGAAACTTTCAAACAAAACATTTCTCAATAGCTTCACTTTTAATAGGATTGGTTCGAAAATAAAGGTAGAATGAGGGAAAATCAATTTAGTTTCGATGTCCATTGAATTTTCTGCTGTCAGATATCAGCGTTTTGTCGAATTAAAAAACTAAAACAGTGAAAAACTGATTCAAAATACATTCAAACAATGAATAAGAGACCCAACAATAATTCACTGTAACTTGTATAACAAATTCTGATAGTTTCGCTCAGAAGATCATAATTTTTGACTTAATGCGCCTCAATGGAAGCAAAAGCGGCCATTATCATACAGAGAGAGAGGATTATGATTTTCTTTCGATTTCTACGGCTATCGCTTACATACTTGATGAAAAGAATTTCATTTTGTTCTGTCCGAACATTTAACAAAAACTATTGAAATGGTGAACGGTCAGGTAGAGGCATCTAGTCGTATACTTATCAACCTTTCGAAGTAGAAACCTTACATTCCGATGATAAGAGGTAGGAATGACCACATACAGGGTGATTCTGCTACATACTCCTTCATCTCAAACTTATGATGTAAGCACATTTGCATCTATTGGGTAAAATAAACAAGCCTTCTCACGCTGACCGATCTGATTTGAAAGAAATCGGCTGGCGGAATTTATTGTTACAGTGTCACAGTGGTCAGTTACGTTTCGACGCCTATGGCAATTACATATATGGTATTTCAAATGAATTTGATCAGTTCGGACTTCTATTGTCTGATATTATATAAAATAATTTGAAATCCCTGAAAGAACTAAAGAAGAATTAAAAATGAATAGCTGAAAAAAGCAATTATATCAAGCAAAAAAACCTGAAATGGAATAATAGTGAAATAAAATAAAAATTAAAATATTGAGAGATTTGAAGCCAATTTAGGGGAGAAGGGGGCAAGTTCGGACACCGTTTTACAAATTATTATATCTCCATCGGTTGTTAACATTATCAAGCTGTTGGAATTTTGTAAAATAGAACCTTTTTGTTATATGTAACCAAAAAATTTTACATTAAATTGAAGAAAATATGCCATTCTTGAAGTCCTCGGTGTTGTCATAGGCTTAGGTAACTTTGATACAATGTCTTTCCTCTCAAAAAATGAGATATTCTCAACTTCTGGATAAACAAATCCTTGCACCTATACACTTCTTCAAAAATGTTACTTCGAATTCCTCATTTTCCATCACATTGATCACTTTCCCAACATAATGCAAGGATCTTTTTTTTGTTGCGAACTTCACTGATAGATAATCATCTTTTAGGATTTTCTCGTCATCTAAAAGTTCATTGAGCTCATCATCATCACTTCTATAATCTAAATCAATATCAGAATCAGATGAATCATTCCTTTTTATAATTTTCGTGGCAGTTAAAGGTAAATTTATATCAGAATCTGATGACGAGATGTCATCTGAAACTGTTTTATTCTTTTTTCTCTCCTTTGATTGCTTTCTACTTTGCATTTTCTTTGGTTTACCTCTGTTTTCTTCACATTCATCAGTTTGGCTTTCTCCAATTCTTGTATTCTTTGTTTTTCCGGAGTACTGGTGTAAATTCTTGATTTTCCCTTTCTCAATTTTCTACTTGTATTTCTGGGACCAGCCTTCGGTAGGGGTTTCACATCTGACGGTTTGACAATAGATACGACAGAAGGTATTTTAATTTTTGGTTTGGTAGCTTCATGTGTTATTATGTTCAACAAATCCCTTACTATATCTTCTACTTCGTGATTTCTAGACGATCATTGAATTTGATCATTGGAATGAAGCTGAACGACAATACTTGTATCGACAATTTCTGCAGAGGGCTCCCCATCCTTGTTTTCAAGAGGACGGTCTGTTGCGAATGAGGCACAGAAATCCTCGTCTTCATAAACCAGAGAATTAAAAGGCCCATAACCCAGTACTGTTGAAACTACTTATAATATTACAGGGAGTAAATGTTTGCAGATATGGTTGTGCTGACAACTTGGCAACATCATAAATAGTTATAGGTTTACCAGGATTCGACAGAATGAAATCATTGAAAGAAATCTTGCATTTGGATTTGAATGGACCAAACATTCCTTTATCCAGTGGCTGCATTTTATGTGTGCAATGTGGCGGGAAAGACAATAATATATTTCCGTGTTCTCTTGCATACAAGATGGCATCAATAGAAACATGTGTCTCGTGATTATCCATCAGCAGTAGAATTTCATTTGAAAGGCTACTGTTCGTAAGTTTTTGTATATTTATGCTCTTACAGTTTGAGAAAGACCCTGGTCGACATCCATCCCGATTTTTCAGCATAACCAACAGCCCCAGGAACGGCACCATACAATAACTGATCCTTCATCTTCACACGAGGAAAGATATAAAGAAGCGGAATTGAAGCCCCAACAGCCGATATTATTCCACACATCGTTACAAGAGATCCTCGTTCAGCAGATACGCATCGTCCTACAGCTTTTGATCCTGTTTCTGCTATCACTCTCGGTTGAAGGACTGTGGTTATACCGGTTTCATCAGTATTCCATATACGATCTGGTGAGAAATTACATGTGGCCTACACTGAGGCATAATTATTGAAAAATTCCTCTACATTGGCTCTATTGAAATCTGAAGCTTTAGCTATACTAGTATTCTCAGGTTTACGATTGGAAAGCCTTGGATGGCGTTTCATGAAACATTGCATCCAGTCGATTCCTGCTTGTTGATTTCCCAATTTCTCTGAATTTTCTTATTCAGTTTTGAAGCATATTGAATAGCCAGTCCACGACAGAGTTCATATGTCAAGCCGTAGCATATTTTTGAAGACTTTTTGAGATATGTCTCCAGCTCGATTTCTTCATTTCGTGAAAACACTTGTCGTGTTGCATATTTTGATGATGCAAATTCTTTCTCTGATTCACCACCTTCATTTCCAGAGTCTTCAATATTATTATTGGAACGCTTTTTAGCTCTGACAACTCTGTCGAATAAAGTTGATTTCGGTACATTGAATCTTATTGCAGCAGCTCTTTCTCTTGCTGATAACATTCTTCAGAACGTTTTTAAGACTTCTCTAGGAATTTCTGGCTGAATAGGAGGTTTTTTTTGTATGTTCTCAGCATCCTACAAACAATAAGAAGTAACTGAAAGATAGATCATGGGGCATATATGGACGAACACGAAAATGAAGCAGGGGCAGCCTCGGACAGTCCGAACATGCCCCATATGTATATAGTTGAGTATTATCGTGACAATTTCCTCAAACACTGAACAATCATTATACTTTTTTGAGGTTAGACGAATGAAAATATACGTTCTTCCTGATATACTCATCATTTCTTACCTGAAATTCACTCCTTGAGGTGTAAGACCTTACTAGTAGATACCTCAACCTTTTATCACTAATCCCTTTTGGGAAATTTCGAATAAATATCCACTTTTCAATTGAATTCAAGAAACACAAGCCGGCGTCAACGATTCCAAACTGTTAACAGAAGCATTTGTCTCTGATCGGTGAGTTTTGTGTCATTGCTGGGCGGTAAATTTGAAATATCCGGAAGTGCCCCATGTCCGAACCTACCCCCTTCTTCCCTACTTCAAAAAGTTTCGATTGTTAGTATCCACAATCGTCTTCGGGTGGTGACTGGACTAATTCCACCGAGAGATGACTATTTATGGGCCACCTATCTTCGCTTTCCTTCTTCCGTTTCACTAGTTTAGTAGGAGATGACCATTTCGTAGGAGTTGACCATTTTTCGCTTGATTATGGGTTTTTATATGCTGCATATCTGTACGCTAGCTTGGCTGAATACGTTATGGGACAACATGAATGCGGCTTCTTTGAATTTCCTTCTAAACAAATGTTCCTCTCTGTGTATGATCTCAGCTTGGGGCCACTCGATGTTATGTTGATGAGTCCAAACATGCTCACAGGGTATCCGGCGAATGCAATTCTTGGAATCGCAGTCCACGTTTGGTGGCCTGGTTTTCAGGAAAGCACGGGCTTGAAGATCCGCCAAGACGTAGAGAATACCCACAACAGAAAATGGAGGAAGTTATGAGGAAACAATTCCCAAATGCAGACCAAAAACAGAACAACTATGAAGCCGCCAACGTCATCAACATGAGTTCCTGCCCGCTCACGGGAATAGAGGAATCCTTGTTGGGGAAAGGGCTCAACTTCGCCATTGCGCCAACATGTGTGCCCACTTTGGAAATAATTGCTGCAGTGGAATCCACCGGTTGCCTCATAGACCAGACCGAGGCAGAAGAATTCAGATGGAAAATTAGGGAACAGATAGATCGAGAACCAGTTCGAAGATCTAACATCAGCAATGAGAAACGTAGAGCTCCGAACGGCCTTCGTAGAAACAAAACCATCAAGATTCTATCTGCAGATGGAGGAAACGCTACTGTGGTGATGGATACTGTCCTCTACGAACAGATGATCGAAGAGGTTCTTCAGATGGGACAATATACAAAGATCGTACGGGACCCTACTGCATCAATTGAAAGGAAGTTGTACCAGATTTAAAAAAAAACACCAAGTCTATTTTTCGGAGAAGGAGAGATTATCGCTAACACCGCATCACAGTTATCCCCCTCACTTGTGTGGACTACCCAAAATCCACAAGACGGACATTCCGCTCAGACCGATCATCAGCTCCAAAGATTCGGCTACTCAAAACTTGTCTATATTTCAACTCCTCATAATACAACCATTACCGAGCATTGCCGAGCACAAGAAACACACACAGCGAGGAGAAACCAGCAAATCAGGAATAGCAGAGCATGTTTGAACCCATCAACATAACATCGAGTGATCGCAAGCTGAGATCATACACAGAGAGGAACATTGGTTTAGGAGGAAATTCAAAGAAGCCGCATACATGTTGTCCAACTATGTATTCAGCCAAGCTAGCGTAGAGAAACGCAACATATGGAAACCCATAAGCAAGTGAAAAATGGCCAATTCCCTCCAAACGGTCATCTTCCACTAAACCAGTGAAGCGGAAAAAGGAAAGCGGAGATAAGTGGAGTCATCTCTCAGTGGAATTAGTCCAGCCATCACCCGAAGATGATTGTGGATACTAACAATAGAAACGTTGTGAAGTAACTTGGCTTGAAATCTCTTGACATTTTTATTTTTTGTTCAATTGTTTTATTTTTACTTGTATTTTATTTCACTTCTATTCCATTTCAGGTTTTTTGCTTGATATAATTGTTTTTTTCAGCTATTCATTTTTAATTCTTCTTTAGTTCTTTCAGGGATTTCAAATCATTTTATATAGTAGAAGTAGACAATGGAAGTTCGAACTAGTGAAATTGACTATTTTAGTACATTACATTACGCCCTTCTGTTATCAATCATCAATGTTTTTTTCTGAAATACTCAAATTATAAATGCAGTGCCAACCCAGTTGGTATGCCAAAAAATATAAGACAATGGAAGTCCGAACTAATGAAATTCATCATGAAACATTGTCAATCACCTTCAAAGAAATGGTATTTCAAAGTTTAAAATTTTGAAATGTCAAGTACTGGTGCGGCTGAAGCAACTGCTAATTTGTGTTCCGACATTCCACCTAAAAATGTTTCCTATACCCAGCCGCATATTGAAGAAAAATATGTCGTTCCTTAGTGCGATTCTGTACAAGCAGCCTTGTTTTGGGGATCACGTGCACTACGCGTGCTAATGTTTTGGAGCATTCCGTTGCTTAGTTGAACAGAGTATAGTGTATTACAATTTGAAATACTTACGTTTGTTAATTGTCCAAAACCGTCAGGCCATATTTTGTGTCCCATTTCCGCATAGGGGTCGGTGGGATACGGGAAATATATTGGCGCCCTGTCGCCATGTCGAAATATCTATGAAAATGAAAATGTTTTGAAGGAAATACAAAGTAATAAACAAAGTTCATCAAGCAGTTCATTGAAAAAAAATTTTGCACAACTCTCGGTGACTAAGCATGTGTTTATGGCATTCACAACTTGGGGTTTTATATTTCATTTTTTCATTTCAATATTAACATATGTCACAAAAAGGATAAAGGATAATATTCGATTTCCAATTTGGAAGACATTCGACTCGTTTGAAATGCTCGGTATATTTGAATGCCTTTTTTTGAAATCAGAACAAAAAGGTTGAAGTTTTCGTTTCACATTAATTGTTTTCATGATTTACTTTCAGCCACCGTCTCTTTTCAAATTTGTCTCTGTGTTGTCATGGTATTACTCTCTATAATCGATATGGCTTCATCGAATGTAAAATAAAATACATATTTGTACCTACCACAACAACTGCCAGTAATTCACTCTTTACGGGTTCTCCAACAAGTTGTACGGAAACCAACCACATCCAGGTACCAAACAGAAAAAGATTCATTTTTCATTCAATCCTATATATCAAAACAAATAAAATCACTAATGAAATTCACTAATAGAGATCCATAATTTGCTGACCAACCACTCATAAAGTTGTAGATAATACTGTCGAATCTAAAAAACTTACCACTTTTCATTCATTTGCCTTCATCAATCCTATTTTCAAGCAACGTTGCCAGAAATAAAAGTGCGATATCTGGTAAATATGGGAAATGGTCTGTTGTCAATGAATACCACTGAAAAGCTCAGAATGGAATCACCAGTAGAATTATGGTATTTTTTGTGAAATTTCGAGGAGAATATTTCTTGAAAATAACTTGAGGGACAAGTTTCGTCACACTTTTGGTTGAGAAAGGTTCAATTGGACAATAATGATAAAAACATTTCTTTATTTGCCTCATATAACAACATTGAGAAACAATATACAGGAAAAATATTGAGATGAATGGGTGGAGTATCAGCAGAGCTGTTCTTAAACTCCACTATTGAAATATAATAATAGAATAAAAATACAATACATACAGTTTCAAAAAATATTATTATTATCACCAAATTGTTTTACCTGAACAAATGAGCCACGGTTAGCATGAGAAAAGTAACCTACTCGAAAAAATTTAATTTGAGTCTTTTTTTAAGTTTCAATAAATTGATAGATGTAACCGTTACTACATGGTAAAAAATCGTCATGAAAAATATAAATTGGAACTTTCTGTTTTTCACCACTTTTATTTGATCAATCTGATCATTTAACAGGTTGCACCAGCAATTTTTATGCTTATGAATTTCCAAAGATTCCCAATAATTGAGTTTGCAACCCTTTCTTGAGTAGTGCAAAATTTCTGTATCGTTTAAATTCGGGAACTTGTGGTTGCATCCCAAGGAATGGTTTGAAAAAGAATCGTTTTTACCTAGTCTGAAGAACCTTTCATATTCAGCGTACTTTTTTGAGAAATTTCAGCCACATTGTCCCACAAAAACGTTAATACACTCCGGACACTTAATCTTATGAACTTCAGATTTCTCCATTTTGTTCACTTCATCTTTGACATAAAAAAAAGTTAGATAACGTGACATGTGTCCTCAACGCCACTTTCACATTAGTTTTTCTAAAAAATTCCGCAATTGTCTCTGTTCTTTTGCCAAAATATGTTAAAGTCACGAATTTCTTGATTTCTGATTGTTTCACCTGGAGCTGTACGTAAATTCAAGGCTTTGTTTTCTGACTAACTTCTGGATTGTGTCTGCATTAAAACCATTATCGACTGCGTATCCCATGTTTTCTTGTTGAAAAAATTATCATATAATGGTATAAGAGGACTACTGCTTAAAATTTTTGATTCGTATCTCACGAACAGGGAGCAGAGGGTATTTGTTAACAATAGATTCTCTAGTTCCAAGCCAGTTACACACAGTGTACCACAAGGGTCAGTTCTTGTACCACTTTTGTTTATCATCTACATCAATGATCTATTCTTTCATTTATTTCCAAATAATATAGTTATTTTTGCTAATGATGCAACACTCATACCTCTACCTTGCCTGTTTGTCTTTTATGCCGTGACAGATATTCATAAAAACACGTATCCAAATCTCATAATCATAATACTAGATCAGCGAATATATTCAAAATACATTATTATCGATTTGACGTGTCCAGGAATAACTCACCTAAACTGCATTAATACAAGTTACCAGCTATTCTGAAACAACTTCTTCTGGATTATTCAAGAGAAAATGCAAAGTACTATTATTAAAATATTGTTTTTATGCCATCAATGAATTTCTCAAAGCTCCTTGGAACGACAACTCCATATGATATTGAGGTTCAGTGTGATTTTAGACAATTTTTTTTTAAACTTATAGTGTAGGTATTTTCACTCTTAGTCGTGTAGGATGAGCCTATGGAGGTATATGTATATTCATGTGTATGTGTGATGTTCCTATTTACAGTGGATGCATTGGTCTTTCTTTTTAAATTGTACATTACTTTAATTTTTGCTACGAAAGGTGGAACATTGACTTGCTACAAATGTATTGTATGGATATGTAACGTGGTCAATGAAGTTCTATTCTATTGTATTCTAGATCTGTATGATTAATGGTTTCAACACAGACACAATCCAGAAGTTAGTCAGAAAAGTCAGCACCAAATTCACGTACACATTAATATACCCCCGGTTAAACGTTCAAAAATCAAGAAATTTTCAGTTCCAACATATTTTGGTAAAAGATCAGAGACAATTGCGGGATTCTTCAGAAAAAATGTTGAAGTGACATTTAGGCCACATACCAGGTTATATAATTTCCTTTTTTATACCAAAGATAAAATGGACAAGATGAAGAAATCCGGAGTTTATAAGCTCAAGTTCCGTAATGTAATAGTGTTTATGTTGGACACTGTGACCGATATACCTCAAAACGGTATGCTGAACATGAAAGGTCATTTAGTTCAGACTAGATAAAAATGATTCGACGTTTTCAAATCAATCCTTGAAATGCAACCACAAGTTACCGAATCTAAACGATACGGAAATTTTGCACTGAAGGCTGGAACTCTTGGAAATTTGTAAGAATAAGCATTGCGGATGTAACCTAATAAATAACCAAATCGACCTGGTCTACTCGCCAGTTTTCAGTTAGCGTACCCACATTGTCACAGGTAAACAAAATTCAGGTAATAAAGTCATTGGTCTGTTAATACCTACAGTGGTGTAAAGATATAGGTATGAGAGTTAACATTGATTGTTAATTATTTCAGTTTATTGTATTAGTTTGAAAATGTCCTGTAGGAGGAAACTGCAGCAACGCAACGTTAGTTACAAATACAAGTGGTATAAAAACATAGGTAGTTTTATTTCTCATTTTCCATCGTTACTGTAGATCTTACGCAAGTCATCCAAAATTTTTCAGTTTTTCTATTTCGTTATTTATTCCACCAGTCCATGGCTGGTGAATTTCCAGTTCTTGCTTTGGAAAATATATTATTCATGATGAAACTAATGATTAATATAGTACAAATACTTCAAAAATACCTCTGAAGTGTAGCCCTCACGCAAGTTGCCTCATATTTTCCACTTTTTCTATTCCGTCATTCATATTACCAGTATGTTGAATTATGGAACAGTTCACAGCTGGTAGAGTTTCAGTGTTCGCTTCAAATAAATTATCATTCATATAAAAAAAGAAGACTGATATAGTACAAATACCACAGCCTGCAAGTAACCTCACACTTTTTTAATTTTTCCATCAGATTATTATTTGATTATTCATTTTATCAGCAAGATGAATCATTTTACAGTTCACAGCTGGTAGATTTTCAGTGCTTGCTTCGAAGAGATTATTATTCATGATGTTACAGATGACGGATATAAAAAAATACTTTCAAAATACCGCCACAGAAAAACAATTTGATGGATCTCATATTATATGCTTCCTTTTCGATAGTATGCTTCACGGTTCTAGATGCTAGCTTTACTATTCCTTGAATACGGCGAAGACATTTTTTCAACGAAAGATCGAAAGCATGTTTGGAAACATTCATTCGTGAAGGACAGATTCTACAAACATCAACTGTTTTCAAATATAGAAAACGTAATTTGATGTCATGCCACCTAAATTTTTCACACTATAGTTCCAACGCTGTAATTTCTTCAAAAATAATGTGTTTGGTGCATAGAAAAATTAAATATCTTCTAAACTTCTCAAAAAATATATTCATCCGAAAACTCTACAACTATCTACAAATTACTATATTTTTTAGGCCATTGAACATGCTTCTTTCCACTCTTTCGAACTAACCCTCAGTGGCTCAACTGTAGTCCTAAAATCTTTCCATTTGCAATTGAATTCACGTTCATTCAAACGGAGTTTGACGACTTCTTCGTTGTCTGTTTGATTTTTGTATAAAATATTGACAAACTGGCCTTTGTTTTCGCTACTTCTCAGTTCGAAGATAAGTGCAGAAGCGTATTCTGGAGCGCAATCCACAAGCAACTTCAAAGATGAGAGTACACTCAATATTGTGATATCGTGACCTGAAAGCATCAGAAACTTTGGAGTGTCAGTCACTTTTTTGATAATGTCTTCGAACTTAGTAGCTATTAGGTCGATTAGAGGTCCTGAAAGAAAATTTTTAACGATCACCACAAACTTGTAATGATATTAAAGCGGAATTTGATAATTAATCACTAAATTTCTCTGCAAATACAAACATGTTGCAATAAACAAATGTCTGTAACCTATGGTATCATTTGAACCCTGCTTATTCTCAAATAAGGCCGAATTCATTCAGGGGCATATAAGAGTTATTTTAATGATCCAAAAAAATCAGTAGAAATTCTTATACTCACGGATCGGTTTCAAAAAATGCAAATTCCTGATAGGTTCATCCGCTTCTACCTTAGATTGCATAGAGAAGAGATATATATTCAAGGGCAAGAAAATCAACCTGAAGTGAGTCTTGCGACCTGTACTTGGCAAGGCAAGAATCAAGCCAATGAACTATGTCGAATAAAAATTTTCAGGTAGTTGCCATATTATGTATATAGCAACTACCACTTATCCATCCATCCACTTATCCGCATCGATCTGGAGAACGCCACACACCAGCTGCAACAGGCGATCATCCAAACGATGGCAAGAAGCGCACGGGAAGTCCCAGCCCTGCGCTTCAACTTCCAAGAGCATCTCCCACTAGAAACGGTAGAGCTGATTAGAATAAGAAGACGCCTGAAAAGGTGCATACAAAGAGCCAATAGATTACTCAGAGACGAACTGATAGCTATCCGAGACAGCCAATGGACTACCCGTCTGGAACGGTTATCCACATACCGAAGCCAAAGGAGAACCACCTATTCCCAGATAATCACAGGCCAATCAGCTTACTACCTTCCATAAGCAAAGTGGCGGAGCGTGTCACCTTGGAGAGACTCGAAGACCCAACCAGAGAACTAGGAATCTTATCAGATGAACAGTTCGACTTTAGACAGAAGACTCGACAGAGCTACAAGTCCTAAGGGTAGTACTTTACGACCAAAGGCGTCAACGTCGGCAAAGGATACAACACAGGAGCTATCTTCTTAGACGTCTCCAAGGCGTTCGACAGAGTTTGGCATGATGAACCCCTGGCCAAAATGGGCAATTTTGGCTACACAAAATCGATGGTAAGATTAGTCCAGTCTTTTCTAGCTGACAGGCGATGCTGTTGCAGAGTAGGATACGAACTATCAACAATTCGACTACTGAAGGCAGGGGTTCTGCAAGGTGCAGTCCTTTTGCCACACCTCTTCCCGTTATACACAGCAGACGTGCCCAAGCCGGAGAACAACTTCAACAGATTGGCGCTCTACGCGGACAACACGGCCCTGCTGGTGAGATCTACGAGCCAAGCGCATGTCACCAGATATTTGCAGCAACAGGCAGATATATTAGAGGAATCGGCCAACCTGTGGAAAATCAGTATAAACCCTGACAAGAGTCAGGCAATACTGTTCACCCGGAGGTTGGTACAACCGGAAGGCAACATTACCTTCAACGGACAAGAGATTCCGTGCATGAACCAACGAAGCAAGATACTTGGGGGTCACCCTAGACAGGAAATTATTATTCAGGTCTCACGTATGGGAGAGAATCGGAATGGCGGGATCTGCCAGACAACGCCTAGCACCAATAATAGGCCACAGAAGTAACATTGAAATAAAAGTTAAGTTGTTGATGATAAGAACCGTTCTCATGCCCATAATACTGTATTCTTGCACTGCCTGGGGCCAGTGCGCACAGACATACAGAACTCAGATACAAAGGTTTATGAACGCGTGGGTGAGGGCCGCTGTAAACGCTCCGAGGTATATGCCCAATAGAATAGAATAGACCTGGACACCCAATATGTGGAAGCATATTTGAGAGAACACGCAAGAAGCGTGTTCGAGAGAATCAAATCGCATGACAATTCAGCGCTACGCGATCTACACGATGCTTTAAACAGGGATGACCCCAAATTACGAGAAAGGATAAACAGGCCGACCAAAGAAAATCAGACACCACCCCCAAGAGTCGCTGTCAGGCGACTCCGGTAAGTATACCAATTGGGTTAACCAGATCAACTCTCCTTCAGCATTGAGGTTCACCGTGGAACAATCGACCGCGATTCTCTTTCAGGTTCACCGAGAAACACTCGACCGCGATTTCATGAACAGAAGCCGCCGGTTAGCTTTTGGGGGCCCCATGCAAAAATTCAGTTAGGAAAGTCATGACACAACAATTCAACAGATTGGAAACTAAAAGCACCTAAAGGCTGACTCTCGATCGGAAAAAGGTCAGATGTCAATGTTGCTGAAGTGCCAATCAGTAGGATTGAGGATGGCTCCAGGAGGATGGATTGGTGTATTGAGTTTTCTCACAAAATTTATTTTGTGGGGCGAAGTTTTTACTCCAGTGCACTCAACCCAGGAGGGGGCATGGGGGGGAAATCACTAGTCATTGGTGAACCATCAAAATGAATAAACCTCCGAAAGAGCCAGGCACTGGTGCTGGCGAAACGTTAGGATGCAGTTCCAAACCACGACGACCTTCAAACCCGAATGAATATCGTAACACTGAAAAAGTTGACCGCGAAAGCCTTAATCAATTCTGTATATCAGTAATAATCATTGAGAATTAGCTTTCAATAATCTCTCCAACTTTTTCTCGAAACATTTTTTTCATTGTAACAGGGAAGCACCTACCTATCGTTGATACACCCTGTATAGCAAATCTCAGATATCCAAACCTCACCTCGGAGGATCTGCCTTGCATTGACAGACCATTCAATTTCAAATCACTACCCAACTTAATTATTTCATGCAATATCATCCATCAAAAATGTATACCTACGACAATCAACTTTATTCTTTTTTTTACAATAGCGCATTCAAATTTTTCGTGGCACATTTTGAAACTTCGAGACTTTTTATTTCATAAGAGAATGTAGTGTTACAATTTTTGGAAAAGAATTTGGAACATGCAAATCTGGTTTCTCAGTGGTCATTTCTGCAAGAGTTAACAAAAGTTGATATACTATTATGTACCTGATCTGTATCTACACATTTCCATGTTAGCCGTGTATAATCCCCAATAAGTGAAATACATTGACTTCAATTTATTGAAACTCACTGTTTCAGTCCATTCTGGCAGAGTGAGATTGTAGGTAGATTCAATTAAGAGTATATCATAGATCCACATTACCAATTCAAAACTATTAATTTCTTTTCCAGTATTTCTGGACAAATTTCCGAGAAACTCGCCATTTTCTTTTGCAAATTCCTCGAACTTCTTGTCTCTCAATTCTTTGAACATTTTGTTGTATTTTGGGCAAGGTTTCTCCATGGCTATAACTGGATCATTTTCCTCTGGAGTTGTATGTATGGGAATTGGCATCCAATGTAATTGGCTATTCCAGATCTGACGCTCAACTGGTGGAAATAGACCAGCGACAGTTGCCGCAGCAGACATGAGGCATCTGTCGCTGTTGGATGACTCAACTCTGATATCTTTATGACTGTAGAGGTCAGGCAGAAATCCTTTATACCTGTTCCGTAACCACTTTCCAAGGTCATAGGTCTGTTTTTTTCCTAGCTGAAAATGGAATAGTTTCATATTTTCTATACGAATAATTTTTAATATTGAGCTGCTCACAAAAGTGTAAGGATAGTCAACGTTGTCTGCAAGCATTTTCAAACAAATATTGTTTTTCATAAGGAGAAGTATACAAAATAGAAAAGTATTATTCGAAAGGTGTATATTTTAAGGAGATATTCGTTTCTGAGAACGAATGTAAAGTACTTTTCTTTAATGTCACCCCCTTTTTATTTTTTGAACGGGCCAACACGAAAAATTGAAATTTGGGATAATTGAATTAATGCATGAATACCTTATTCTGTAGTGAAATGACAGATGAAACATTCAAGATGGGAACTGGGCGTCATCTGTGAAAAAAAAATTAAATGGAAAGGGGGGTCTCGTGACACACATTTTCAAAGATCCTGACAAATGCTTCACAACCTGGAAATATAATGTCAATATCTTCAACTACTACAAAATGACAGAACTTTAAATAATTGCCTGAATAATTTACATTCAACTACATAATATGGGGTAATAACCTTGAGGTCAGTTCAGAAGATGTTCGAAATGATTACCTTGAACTTCTTGACATATGAACAGCCTATCCGATATTTCACGCCGAACATTTTCGAACACAGGAATGTCAATATCTATACAAATATTCATTATTCTCTGCCGTATATCCAATATTGAAGCAGGTTCAGTTTTGTACTCCTTTTGTTCCAAATAGCCCCATAAAAAAAGTCCAAAGGTGTCAAATCTGGCGAGCGGGCTGACCATTCTGTAGGACCTCGACGGCCAATCCAACGACCGGGAAAAGTAGTATCCAAATGGCTTCTTACTTACCTGGAGTAATGTGGTGGTGCTCCATCTTGTTGGGATACAATATCCATATCGAATTCATTGTAATTCGCTTCGACGATTTCAGTGATGAGAGGGTCAACAGTAGTTTTCAGCATATTCAAATAGGGTCATACTGTTCAATTTTGATCGATAAATAGAGGTCCTACAATATAGTTTTCCAATATTCCTTGCCAAACGTTATTTTTTTCTGAATATTGGATATGTGTTTCCCGGAAAACGTAAGGGTTGGTGTCACTTCAATAACGGCAGTTCTGTCTATGAACATTACCGTTTGAAAAAAATCTACATTCGTCACTGAAACAATTATTGTGGAGGTAGGATGCCTTGCAATGGTTTTTCTCATGATTTCGCAGAATTCTGTTCTTCAATTAGGGTCGTCTTCAGTTAATTGGTGTACCATTTTAATTTTGTATGGATGATACCTATTTCTCTTCAAAACTCTCCACACAGTCTTAGTAGACACCTCACAAACATTCGCGTCGGAATATGTAGACTGTTCAAGGTTTACTATCATCTCACCAATTATTTGCACTTGTTGTTCTTCCGGAATGGACGGATGACCTGGGGGCTTTTTGTTATGTACACTACTGGTAGTTGTGAATTTGGATACAAGTTTCCTCAAATATTCTCTATAGATTGAAAGATTCGGAAAACGTTCATTGAAAATCCTTTCGGTCTGGTGAAAGTTTCAATTCGCACCGCAAATAAAAATCGCTTCATTTGTTTCTTTCAATGAACAAGAATTGATCATTTTAGAGATTGTTGAAGTGGTACCTTTCTACTAGTAAAACCAAAAACTAAATGAGAATATTCTAAATATCGATATTAATGTGTTTGTCTTCTGGAAATTATTAAATGTTCTGCCATTTTGTAGAAGGTGAAGATATTGACTTCATATTCTAGGGTTGTGAAGTTATCTCAGGAGCTTCAAAATGATGTGTCACAAGACCCCCTTTCCATTTTTTCCCAGATGACACCCAGTCGCCATCTTGAAAGTTTCATCTGTCAATTTCACTTCAAAATGAAATATTCATGCACTAATTTCATTATCTCAAATTTCAATATTTTGAGTTGACCCGTTCAAAAAATAAAAGGTGGGGGACATTAATGAAATCCACTACTGTATATTCAAATAACATGCTATTGTAGGATTTCCACTAGACAGTTCACAAAACCACAACATATGTTTCCACAAACCATACATTGTCAGGGACCGTTTAAGTATTACATGAGCATATTTATTACAATCATTCACCCACCCCCCCATCTTCATTGTCAGCAAAAGTAAGCAAACCTTTCACTTCTCCCTCCAATGCTTACGTAAACATTGTTATTAGCATTTTTTTCAATATTGTCTGTTTTTATTGATTCATAGGCAGCAGTTATAATTATAGAATTGAGAAAATAGATTGAGTATAGAGGACTTCAACGCATATAATATTCATTCAAACAAACTTTATTGACACAGTATTCAACAAAGAGTAAGATACAAATATCATAAACCTAAGTTATACTTCGAACAAACCAAACTTCTTTAAAATTTTTGGTATACATATTAATTTCAATTTACACCCTTCAGTCCATGACACCCAAATCCATGATTCTGAGTTCTCAATTACATTGGATGTTTGCTGCTCTATGTTGTGTATAGGCTCATTCTCATGCTGTTTTGAAATATCTACATCGTTCTCATCGAAGCATTCAACGTCGTGGTTCTCTAAATTTTGAATAATACACCCCAGTTCACTAGCACGACCAGCAGCAACTCTTATAGGCCTAACTTTGACATCAGTATGCCTGTTTACTTTTTTTATAGATCTTCTCGAAATGACGATATAATGACTTGACGGAAGCATGATGAGGGCCACACGTTTTGCTTATTCGAATTGATAACTTCAATTTTACCACCGAACAAAAACCTCCACCATCCAAAACCAAACTGTTTTACTTTTACTGGTGGTGGAAGAAACCTGTTGTCTAGTAATCTAAATAGAACACTTCTTAAACGACAGCATTTTATGTTTCTACATTTTACAATTTGAAGCACGTATTGGCTTTCACGCACATGTTCTGTGAGTCCAAATGAGACCCAAAACATGTAGGTATTATGAAGAAAAACAAGTACAACCCAGTACTTTGAAATGTGTAATTGACTTAGTGGAATCCTACTTCAGCAAGTGCTGAAAATGTGATCCATTTGCTTCCATACAATAATGCAGATTTTGTTCAAATCTATTACCAACATTCTGTAGCATATCAGGTGTCATACTTCTGCACTCTGCTGTAATTCGTTGGCGAAGATCTTCTATGGACTCGGGCTGCGTAGCAAAACATTTATTTTTTAAGTGTTCCCAAAGAAAAAAGTCTGAAGGCGATAAATCTGGGGACCTGGCAGGCCATTCGATGGGGCCTCTCCTTCCAATCCACCGTCCAGGAAACCGGTCATCTAAAAACTGTCTTACCGGAGCAACATAGTGAGGAGGTGCTCCATCTTGCTGGAAATGAAGCCGATCATCATTATGATTTTGGTCATTTTCAATTATTTCTGTTTTGAGAGGATCAATTGTATCTTCAAGCATGTTCAGGTAGACCTCACCAGTTAAATTCCCAGGAATAAAGAGTGGCCCTACGATATGACTACCTAATATGCCACACCAGACATTGATTTTTTGAGGGTACTGGGTATGGACCTCTCGGAATGCGTGTGGATTACTGTCATCCCAGTAACGGCAATTATGCCTATTCACAGCTACATTCAAAAAAAATGTACTCTCATCGGAAAAGCACGTGTTGAATGATAGGTGCGGATCATCAATTAGTAGCTGGCTCAGTTGTTCACAAAATTGCAGCCTTCTATCAGGATCATCTTCATTGAGTTCCTGTACTGATTTAATTTTGTACAGATGAAATTTATAGGCTTTTAATATCCGTATTATGAACGAACGGGAGACACCTGAGGCTGCAGCAAGCTGACAGGTACTTTGACAGGTACTTTGAGTATGATCCAATTCAACATGTCCCAAAACAGCCACTTCCACTGCTTCATTTCTGATCGGTTTCCGTGGCTGGTGTTTCACATTACAGACAGATCCGGTATCGATAAACTTTTGGACTAACTTGGCAACGTACGAATCATTCACATTTTTCCCGGGATGACTGTTATTAAAGAGGCGAGCAGTAAGTCTAGCACAACTATTACGTTGATAATAAAGTTTAACAATTTCAACTCGTTCAGGAATGGAATAAACCATTTTTACAGTGAAGTTGAAATAATTTCAAAAGCAACCGAACTGAATCAATGAACGTTTGCCTAAATTATTTTTGTACATTTATCTGCTGTTGTTATTTGAACCAAAAAACACACGATAGAAATTGAGGAATGCAGTAGTGATAAAAATGCCGTTTTTTCCGCATTTTCATTAAGACCAAAAATATCGAGTAAATGTTCGTGCTTTTTTTATAACTATTCAAGTAAATACAACAAATCAGATATCATTGGAAAGAGAATTTTGTGCCCTTTCAAATGATATATCACTCGACTCCACTTTCCATTTAAAATTTTTGGGTTGTTACTCACCCTCGCTAGGGGGTTTAAGGCACAGGTAGAAAAATACATCTGAAATGTGTCCCTCTCAAAAGCAAAATTTACCTGTCTGAGCATTTTTGCGTTAAGTTACAAAAAAAAGAGAAAAGCAAGGTGCATACTTTTCGTTGGACCACTCGATATGTACCTATAAAGAAGTGAATAACTACTGCTGACGTAATCACAATCTATATCCCCTGCCTCGCATGTTATCAAAAATGAGTAAAGTAAATACCTCCTCCTGCCCCCCTATAGGGCTTACGTAATATTTGAATGGCCCCCATCCCTAATAGCATGAAGTAGCTGCATTCAACAGTACGCCCCACAGACTATTTCATATTTCTCATATTACCTCATATTTCTCAGAAAGTAATTTTCAGAGAGAGCTGAATTACGTCAAACAAATCGTTGTCGACAACGCTCACAAGATAAATATTATCGACTCCATTCTCTCGAAAAAACTACGAGAACACACCATAGACCAGATCCACCCAACTTTAAGAAACAGTAACGTGACGCGTTTTTTTACAACGGTAGTTTTCACCGGTACAACTGAGAAAAAAAAGGTTTTGGTTTCCTGTTTCCCCGTCCTTATATATACAAAAGGAAAGAAAATCTTCCAAAGGAAGATTAATTAACTCCCTACAAAGATGTATAGATCATGCAAAGGAGTAACTTTCAGACATACTGATAGAAAAACCCTTCTCGAAACAGTTACTTTCATGTATACATTGAATTACACGAAAGAAAAATACTTTTAGAACAACTACTCTCATATGAATATTGAATTATGCAAAAAAACACTTTTTCCTATTCAGTTTGTACTCCAAACATTCGTTATGGAATTGAATCATTTACAGGATTGCTACACAATATGATTAATGAAAAAAGAGAAATTTCACTTACACCTTCAATAACGGATATCCGATGTTTCGGAATAAGACATATGCTTTATTGCCTCTTCAGTACCAATCTGGATAACAATTAAAAATGAAGCATTTAATTCATTCATAAAATTACGACTTCATGTCAAAAATGAGTTGTATCTACTCATATTGTAAATGTAAGTGTTTCAGTCCGAAATATTGGATGATCACCAATGATGATAATAGTGTTCTATGTAAGAGATATTTCACCTCTTTCATGTAGTATATTGTGTAGAAATCCTGGGAATGATATCTGATTCGATTCCATAACGATTGTTTGAAATACAAACTGCACGAAGAAAAATGTTTTTGTATAATTCATATAAAAGTAGTTCTTTCGAAAGTTTTTTTTTGTGTAATTCAAGGTTTACATGAAAGCAGTTGTTTGAAGTATAATTTATCTTCCAGTTTGTTTGCATGATCTACACATCTTTGTATAGAGTTATTTCTCCGAAATTGATTGCTTTCTTCCTTTCATTGAAATAATTACACATTTTTTCGTATAAAGAAAAAGGAAGCCGAGAAACGAATTCATCCCAAGCATATACCCCTTACAATTAGGGCGTTATTTATTTCAACACTATAGACAACTCAAAATCCATACTGTCAAATGTCTCAATGAAAAACATTCTTGCCATTATGTCCCAAATATTGGAGTTGATGAAGATCCATAGTAATTTCAAAAACTACACCTCAGTTAAAAAATCGGCCTCTGATACGCCACACTTCCACTTGATACTCTGTATATTGGAGGCTGCTTCAAAAAAGCAATGGTATTCAAAACTGTCATATAAAACATTTCTCAATAGTTTGACTCCTTCATCTCAAACTGATAATGGTACTTAGAGTATCACAAATTGAAAAACTTACGTTTGTTAGTTGTCCAAAACCATCAGGCCATATTTTGTGTCCCATTTCCGCATAGGGGTCGGTGGGATACGAGAAATATATTGGCGACCTGTCGCCATGTCGAAATATCTGTGAAAATAGAAAATGAAAATGTTTTAGTCGAAATACAAAGCAGTAAATAAAGTTCGTCAAGCCATAATTCAAAGTTAGTACCAGAATCGATTACATCTTCATTTACAACCTGCTTGTTATTAAAATCGTTTTGAATAATGAATTATATAATGAGTGAAACTCATTATAATCCCTTCTATATTCAGTATGTGAAAGCCAAATGGAATAAATGCACTATTTCGGTTACGGTACATATTTGAAAAAATCCCGAAACACGTCAAATATAAATCATAATTCGACATATTTCAACAGAAAAACCCCCGTCGAAAGACAGGTACAACCCCCAATTTTTCAAATGGGAAGTATAAACTTATGATATATCGTTTGAAAGGTATCTTCATTCTCTATTCAAAAAGGTTTTTGCTACAATTAATATTGAATAAATTGAAATCTTGTGGTTACCGAAATTCGATGAAATACACTCAAAACTTATTTCATGTTGACGTGTTGATAATAAGGTACTAAGCAAAAACCATAGAAATGTTATTTTTTAGATAATATCCTTAAAAAATAATTTCCGTGGCAACGTTAGTTTAAAACGCTTCGTCAACTTGTTTTGTAGTTGTAACATTTTAAATTGTAGTATTTTAATTTGAGTTTTGAGTTCAATAACTTCAAATCCGACAGATGATTAGATTAACGGAAATGCATATAGTAACAGTTTTACAAACACAACAGGAAGTAGCTCACTTATTTCATAAGAAATTTTCTAATTTACCGCCCATATCTCAAGGAACAATGAGCAAAATAGAGAAGCAGTTTCGCGAGCTTGGTCATGTGGGGCAGATGAAAAAGCAGCTGCAAAAGCAATGAGTGATGAACTCAAATTAGATGTGATGCTTGAGATTGAGGAAAACTCACATACATCGAGTAGACATCGAGTCAAAAAAATAAAATGCATCCCTATAAAATTATACCTACTCAGGAGCTCGTGGAAAACGATTTTGATAGAAGAACTTATGTTTGTGAGTAAATGATGGTCATGTTGGATAACAATATCATCTAATTAAAACACGTTATGTTTTCTGATAAGTATATTTTGTCTCTTATAGGTCATGCTTATCGGCAAAATTGCCGCTACTGATCAACGGAAAATCCTCACTGGATGAGAGAAGAACACACATACCCTCAAAAGGTTAATGTTTGGGTAGAGATTATAAGAAACCATATCATTGGTTCCTTTTTCATTGAGAGCAATTCGAATGTCGATAATTATTTGACACCACTTCAAAATTATATCATTCCAAGTTTAACAAATTTATATCCTGATCCAGGAAACTTTCAAGTTCCAGTTCGAGGTATTGCCATCCCGGCAATTCCTCGATGAAACATTTCCCAATCGGTGGATAAGGAGGCAAAGATCTATTGAATGGCCAGCGCGATCACCTGATCTTTCATCGTTGGATTTCTTTTTCTGGGGATATGTAAAGAGCAATGTATACAAAACTCAAACTCAAACTCAAAAAGAAAGAATAACGCTTGCGACTAGATCGTCGTTAGTTAGGGAAGCCACAGATTATGCTGTAGACGACTCCTCCCGATATAGAAGGCCCCGACACTCTGTCGAATGAGGCCCTCATGTCCCCCGTTAACGGATGAACAACTTTCTCATCCATCCCACCCCAGCCAGGTAGGGGTATCCCGTGAAGGGCGGCACTGATGTCTAAGGACTTCATGCCGTCATGAATCAGTCATGAACCCATTGGTCCTTCTCGAGACCAACAATCGTAGGTCGAAAGGGTAGGGGAGCTGGTCTCCAAACCTGAAAGAAATGAAGATGACATTCTGCGACTGGATCAGTCACACCTGATATGTTAAATGATGTGAAAAGACATTTATTTGAGATTAGGATGTTGCCAAGACGTTCGCGGTGAACATTTTGAACATCTACGTCGTTAATATCCATAGTTCTTTATCGAATTCTACATTTTATTACGTTTTGCGTTACATTTTAGTTTTTGAGTGTATTTTATTGAATTTCGGTAACCAAATGTTTTTAGTTTATTTTATCTCAATTCTTGCAATGAACTTGATACCGATATTATTCTTGAATGGAGAATCAAGAGACCTTTCAAACGAAAAAATGGGGGTTGTTCCTGTCATTCAATGGGTTCGAAGATAGGGGTGGCATTTTTACGTTGAAAAATATCGAATTATAATTTACATTAGACGTGTAGATTTTTTAAAAATATGTACAGTAACCGAAATAGTGAATTTATTCCAATTGGCTTTTACACACTGTATCTAGGTTTCAATCCACTGTGAAGTCATTTTTGAAAAAAAATTCAATAGGATGTTTTCAGTCATGTTCATCAAAGATTTTCAGAGAAATTTATTCATGAAATAATGATGAATGGAATGGAATAATGATTCACTGAAGAATCACCATTTTATTCTGCAACGAAACATTCATGACCATTGCACTTTGTTTTCTGTACTGGTTTTTTGAAATACCTTTATTATGTCTCATAGTCTCTTGGTATGACATTATTACTCATTTTTTGGGAATTTCAATGTGGAAATTGCTGAGAATCACTGAACTATTCAAGAACGAAAGTTCAGTGAGGTAATATTTTTCTCACAACATTTCAAGAAATAACGGTTACTCATTTCATAGTAACACCTTGTTTAAATCAATATTATCGGTAAAAAAGTAAATCAGAACAAAACTGTCCACAAACATGGCGTGTTCGTAGAAAAAGTGTTTATTATTCGTACTTACCACAACAACTGACAATAATTCACTTTTTTCCTGTTCTGCAGGATAATTCATCGTTTAAAGCGATTCACTCCTAAAAATGTAGATATTACTTTTGAATCTTAAAAAACTTTCACGAACCACTTTTTATTCATTCTTAGCCTCACTGAGGAGCAACGTTGCCAATATTATGTTCACTAGTGTATACAGGGTGGAAAAATTGGCAAAAAATCATTTTAATTGATCATTCATCGAGTTCGATTTTTGACAACATTTAATTTACCACAAATCAGCCTGTTACTTTTCCAACAGAAATAAAAATAAATTCCAGCGGTGGATTCAGAGAGAAGGCGACCCCTCATAGCTACCAATTTATTAGAGTGCTACTTTATAGCATATCATTATGGGATCTATTCCAGAATATTCTGAAGTACCATGTATTTGTGTGACAATAACAATAATTATAATCTTGCTGATCAAAACACCTGACTTCGGGTGTTTTCAGGTTGAGCGGCTGAAGCCGCAAACTGGAGGATTATTCATGACCTGCTATCAATAATAATAATAATGATTATAACTTTATGGTGCATAAATTACACACAAAAAGGTAGAAGGTTAGCCTATGGCTAACTTTTGCATCATACATATACTCACTTGGCATTAAAATTATCCAATACTCTTCCCAATACAATAAAATACAATCATATATTTTACCGCTTTAAAAAGTCATTGAGGCAATTTATATACAGACAGCCAAGACAAATGATTTCTGATTTTGTTGACAAAAAAAATATTTGAAATAAAGTTTTCAGCAATGTGAAAAATGTGTGAAAGAACAAAATTGTTATCACTTTACAATAGAACACAATAGAATATTATATATTAGTTCATCAGGATTGTCCACTTTACCTTATTCATTTATTATAATTTCTAACACACCGATTATAACATTTGTGTCATTTAAATGTCACACAATCTTATACCAATCACACGCATCAATCATCGTATTAATTTACAACTACACATTTATATGCGTGTGTGCGAATGATTTGTAGATATTTAGACAAGTCTGATACTTGCCAATTGCCAATCAGTATGTTTAGATATTTTTATAAGTTTTATTGCATTATATTTTCTCGAAACAAATGTGAAAAATACTTATCGAGTACTCATTTATCCACCTTCATCTTCTTACTACGTTGTTCAGTATTCTTCTTTCCTACGTGAATAAATATTATTATTATCATTCTAAATAAATTCTCTCCAGCATTTCAGTCAATTGAACGAGAAGGGCGATAGACAGTACCAAGTCCCACACGTTATTTTCCAATAATTACAATTAGCCACAAGCCACAATGAAGCAAATATAATATTCTATATTTATAGGGAGCGCTCAAGTAACAAGCGACTCCTCCACCTATCCCATCGCGATCTATACGCACCACATTCTGTTAAAAAAATAGTAAGGTATTGAAATATAGTTATTCGGAGAATTTTACTTCCACCACGTTTCACTTAAACCTATTACGTTCAATTTTTTTTCAGTGAACAATTTCTTTGAAGCTGTTGAAGCAATTGTTCAATGATCAGATGTTCAAGTGAGCAAAGATTTTATTTATTAGTGGTTTTTTAATCGAATGACTATAGTTGGGTTTCCATTTATGTATTTAATGAAGATACCTTCTTCCCCAACTTCTTCCCGTTCCTTCAATTCCTCCAATACTTCCTTGAATTGTTGTCGTTGTCGTTTCAAAATAGTCATGACGTCATCTTTCGAGGGTAGTTCGGTTTCAATTGGCGTCGGTGAATTATTTTTGTTCTTTCCTATTCTTACTACTTTAATATTACTGGAGTTTTTCCCAACACCAAACCGTTATTTCAACACCTCGACACGTGTTTCAATCACCAAGTGATCGTCTTCAAGAGGAAGATCACATTTTTACTACTTTGATGCACTGGATATCGACGGATGAGGCTATCGCTTGGATAATTTCCGATACCTCCTCTTCATTTCCTTCTCCTCTGTTGTTGACTGATTCATTGTGTTGCTGCTGAACATTATCCTTTTTTTTGCTCGTCAGCTCCCCTCACAATTGTTTTCCTTTGGAGGTGCTAGGATTGCACCTATAGGCGGGACTTCGTATATCTGTGAATGTAAAATATTGTTTTTTACTCATACACAAACATTTTTAATGAAAATAGTTCTCACAAAAAAGGCACTGTATGACAGGCGATCGATCGTTAACAGTTTCTGTACATTTTTGCAAGCCACAGCAAGCGGAGATATTCTCTTTTTTTTCTGGGAACTTTGAATAACTAAGTTCACAATGAAGTTTATTATGATAAAATGTGATATCAAAAAAAACGGATTCAAACGGCGATATTTTACTACTGAATAACGCAAAAATACGTGTTGACTTGTTGACGTGTTGTCTTCAACAACTCATTCGACCGTAGTCGCGTGCTGGGTATAGATGCTCCTGATACCAGAGTCAGGTTCTGATACAAGTCGCCTGAGAACTCAAAACATTTGCTGTCGTCGTGTCCAGCATATACGGTCTCAACCTAAATCCATCGACAATAAGCGGCTCAAGTGTTTTATCACCACCTATGGCATTTCTACGGTATTGTTTTCAATTATTTCCTAAAAACCATAAATTATTGTATTCCGGATATTGATATCCTGACCAGAGCCCGTTTGAAATCAATGTACATTCACGGAAGCCGTAACGATTGTCTTGACATGCAATAGAGTATTTTGCAGGAATTTGCTAAAACCAAACACCATCAGCATAATTCCGAAAGGTGGTTACAGACACCGTGATAATCAGTCTGTGACAGCCACCCAATGGTAAGGCTGAGGATGTGGAGTTCACTCCAGATCACTAAGCCTAAGGTTTGAGTGGGGAATGGGAAAAAATACCAGAGTGGTTCAAACAGAACTGGCTGGTACAGCACACGACAGGAGTGAAGGTAATCGCATTACCGGCTTTTCGGCCTGACAATTGCGGAACTAGCCAAACGTCACACCCATGCTCAATCCTTAAAGAGATGGGATGAAATCAAAGAATGCAGTCTTGCCAGGATCACCCTGGGCGACAATTGAAAACTGGCACTGAAGAATTATCTGACAATGACCAAAAAAAAACCTATGCTTCACAGTAGGATTTCTGGCTGGCCACTGTTAACTACGGAAACACCTCCATATTATCGGGCTACTCGACACACCTCTATGCAAGATGTGTGAATAGAAAGATGAAACTGTCAGGCATGTCTCATGCGAGTGTCCGTAGCTATCGTCAATAAGAGAGTTTGTGTTCGGTGAGTCTTGGCCTACACCTGCCGATATTATAAAGGAGATGTCTTCTAGTGACCTGCCCACCTTCCTGGAAAGGACAGGATGGACGATGATCTAGGAAGACAACTTCTCGGGAGGATGTATAATGGGTCACATGTGGCCTGATTGCTGTGGGCCTACGCTCACCCTCCCTACTCTACAGATACAGATACAGCCACCCAGTAGTTGCTTCGGGAGAAGAAACGCCAAAATTTAAAAATTCTACAAGTATGTTTTTCTTCTGAGACATTCATTGGTAATTTCAATGTTGATTGTTGGTGTTCTGGAACCAATCAGGTTTTTGAGTTTCAGGGTTGTTTTTATCACGGGTGTCCGATGTGTTTCGTCCGTCAGAGAGATACTCCTCCCCAAAATTGTCCTTCCGAAACAATGACTCATCATGACACAACCATTACTGATATATATATATAAGACCAAATCCTTGAGAAGTGAGGTTATCGAAAAGTGAGTATGTGATTTTCACCAGGAACTTCCTGAGGAAATTCAAAAATTCACCGAAAATCAAATCTCCTGAAAAATGTTGCCTTCGACCCACAAGATGCTTTCTATGGCGGCCGTACGGAAAATATAGTCAAATATCACCAGACCAAGGAGGATATTTATTTTTCGAACCTTTGAGTATCAGATTTTTCTACAAAACCATACTTCCTCTCAGGCATAACTTCATTTTCTTAAAAAAAAAACAATGAAACGGGTTTACACACTCGTTTCGAACATTATTGCAAAGTCATTAATTGTGGAGATGGAACTGTAGTTGCCGAGATCATCATGATTAGCAGTTTTGAATATAGGAATAACCCAGGATTATTTCCATCGGAAACGTAATTTACCATTTTTGTAGATTACATTCTCATCCCAACACCAAACCGTTGTTTTTAACAACTCGTCACGTTTTTCAACAACCAAGTGATCATCTTCAAGACGAAGATTAAACTAAATCTACATACAATGGAGATTTAGTTTGCTAAGTACCTGCGTCTTAATTGTCTTGAAATTAATTTTACAATGTGCCTAAACTACAAGTCAGGTAAATCTGATAACTAAAATAGCTATTTTGTATAACAGCAATAGCCTTTTTATAAGAAATAGATTGATCGGTGTAACCCTCAGCTGCTGTTGGAAAAAAATTCCATCTTCCGTGCTTTTTAATATCCGTTATTTTTGCTCCTGATTTTGCTCGTGAAGAAGCAAAGACCTTCTGAAACAGTGCCCTGTATATTCCTTTGATTTCGGGATGTTCAGAAACTCAGCAATGGTAGAGGGCACTTTTCCAAACGTGTTCATACCAGATGGGTTGACAGTGCATTTATAATTTGAGTATTTCAGAAAAAAATACGATGGCACAACTCTTCACGACAACAGGCTCCATATATTCCGAAAATGGTATCAACTTTTATCATCCAATATTTTTCTTCTAGCGCCTCATTTATAAGCCTCTGGACTTGTTCAAATGTAAGAGTTTTTTGATTTTTCGGGCCTATAACTTAAATTTTTGCGTTTCAATAATGCTATTACCTTGAAATATTTGCTTGTGTTAACACCATTTTCAACGAGCGCACTCGACTTCACCATTGAAAACTAGCTCCACATAGTTGACGATTTCCGTATTTTTGATTCCCTTCTAGATAGGATAAGAAGACGGTTTCGCTGAAATTTTCTTCGACATTTTCAAGTCTACACCAGCTAAAAAAATTAAAATATGCGATGTCGTACTGTTGAGCCGATTTTTTTGGTAATAATTCAATAGAAGCTGTTTTTGCAGTCTCTTCA